TAATTAAATATGGGTGGTAAAATTAAATCCCCAAAGGCCCCCAGAAACCATCCTACACTTACTGCTATAGTGCCCTCTGCACCTCAAGCTAATTTAACTAGCCTGCTAATCGGTCTTGAAATTCCTGTGACTATAAAATATACTTGGGGGCAGCCCCATTGCTGCTTAACCCAGAATCTGATAGTTGATGCAGTAGGTGCATTCTTGATTGCCATAGGTGTTTTGCATGCCTTATGAATCATGATTCCTAATATCATAAGCCTTTTTCCACAGATCTCAGAAGTAGAACTAACCATATCTTTGTCAAGTCTGTTACTGCTTGCCTGTAAATAAGTTTCAAGTCCTTGCTCCAGCAGAGAAAAGCCCACAGGAGTTATGTTTTATTTTCTGTACACTGCACAGTAGCTACTTAGTCACTACTTACTTTACCAACTTGGCTTTAAGAAGCTCCAGGCTGGACCTTCAGCAAGTTATATAGTCTCCTGTAACGCTCGGTTTAGGGGCATGGATACTGCAACTAACTGGGCTGTGAATCTCGTATTTTTTTTTGTTTATTTCCTCTAAATATTTGTGGTGTTAATTTATTTTTTTTCTTATTTATTTCCATTTTTTAGTTTATTTTTTCTCACATATTTCATATTTTCAGATTTTCAGGTTGTTATATGACTGTTGGCACCAACTAAACCCTGTTCCTCCAAGAGGTTGTACCATTTGAGAGAAACTGTGACAGCTATAATGCACAACCCTGTCATGGGGCCACATTGGACTAGTCAGAGGCCCCTGCAAATTATGAATGAAAAAAAACTATGCAGTTAACTCACTTAAGATTAGTACTACACAGGAGAAAAATTACTTTAGTTAGAAGTGGGCTTTAAGGCTGCTCTTGAGACCTGCAAGCCCTCAGGCTCAGGCAGGGCTGCAGGTTTGGCTGGTGGCCTATGGGATTCTATCACTATGTTTAGTCATTACATCCACGGTCATAAATAAAATATCAATCTTAATTTTTCATGTTTTTCAGCTATTTATATACAATTTCTCTACAGTAACAAAAAATATGTATATTTGTATAACATCAGTTATGATAGAGGAAAATGATCTACATAATGGTTCATTTTACAATGCTATGTACTTAAATTTGTGAAATGTGAGGAAGAAGTAATTTATAAAATAGTATTAAAAAAGCAGTACAAAAGTAGTACAAAAATATGTTATTGTATGGAGAAAGTTAGAAAACCTAATAATATATTTAAAAACTTTATAATGGGTGGCTTTTTTGCAACTTTATTTTTTTAGAGGCTAGCAGTTAATGGTTTCAAGACAAAAGTCTGTGCACTTCTCTGCCATTATTTCAGCCGCCAGATTTTGAGCTTCTTGTTGCAAGTTGGTTTTATAAAACATTCAATGGAAAAAGTGGTTTCTAAGAAAATGAAGTTATAGTTTTAAAAATGGTGTATGTTTATAAAATTTTAAAAATGCATGGGTTTTCTAAGACTATTATAACAATTTTTAAGATAATTTGTTTGTATTCCACTACTGTATGCAGGTTAAATTGATTCTAAAGTTAAAAATGGTGTTAAACATACAGCAATGACATTATTGAAAGAACAAAAATATTTCTCAAATTTTTATGAACTTGCAAAAAAATCACTATATGGACTTTTATTTAAATAAGATATCTGATGTGGTGGTCACTTTATTGGTATTGTATCACTGAGATATGTCTAAAATGACCTCTGAAACAAGTTAGAGGACCTAGCTATATGATTATATTAATGCAACATGGGTAAGAGGAAAACACTATTATTTTCACTATATAAATGAAGAAATAGTAAAAAATCTATTTTGCCTAGGTTATGAATAAGACCTAAGGTTTTCAATAAACCTGGGAGGCCTGGGAATTGAAAAAAATTATTTTATTTTACTTTGCACTTTACACCAGTGACATACATAGCATCAACATGACCCTTGGCATTTCTTTCATAACTTCTATATGGGTTGAAGTTATTCATACGTCTGATAATTGCTGATAAATCCAAAGCAGAAGGCCAGAAAAGAACAAGAGGTCCCTCCTCATTGAGCAAATGCTTAGCACCAATGACACATGAGTTGCCACTTGATGAATCTATATAATACTGGCCTGAACTGTAATTTGAAAGGTTCAATAGCCAAATAAATATAAAAATCTGTTGCAATATTCTTGAATAGTTGTAGTTCAATTCTGTTTATTACATAAAATGTATTATTTTAATTGCCGGCAAAATAACTGCTGTGGCGACTAGAGTAAAAGTCTTATTAAACATTCAACATTATCTTAATCTTCACTTATAAGGTTCCTTCATGCTCTTGCCTCAAATAATGAAACAAATTTAGCAACTGAGCAAGTTCCCTTTATGACCATAAATGTAAATTCATTCATCTTAGAAAACTTCCCCTGTTTTATTGTGTGCAAAATTCTCATCTTTCTGTCTCATTTACTTCCTGATCTTACAAAGTGGCTCCTCCACTTTTTCAATTAAGTCTGGGTTCTATCTTTGTTTCAGAATCTTGGGTGCTGGGTAGAATTCTGGGTATAATTTTTCATGCATTCAGGGTCAATCCAGCCCATGGTAATTTAATAAGTTATTTGGCCAGCCTGCTAATTTACAAGTGCTAGTATTTATAAGAAAATCAAGCTAATCAATGTCTTTTAATAAACTATAAAAGTCTAACCTCCCTTACAGGCTATTCTTGCTGGGTGCAGTTAGAAAGGCAGATGTTGTAATCAAGCTGAATCAGATCTGGTGTATCCCAGGGAGCAATTATCTCACTCCTCTTGTTTATTTATAAAGTTAGGGATCTCTTTAATGCTGGATGTTCATAATGTGGACCAAATTGATGTGAAACTTTTTTAATGGTCCTGTCCTTGCTGTTTCTCCTGCCAAAACTTGATCCCAATTGATCTTTGATCATATTATTTGGATTGACCAAGATATTGGGCCTAAGAACTAACCAAGTGAAGATAAAAACTTGTTATTTATTTATAAATTAGTTACAGCAATTCCATTGCATTTTATACTAATGGCTCTGTTATTGAATATGTGGATCAACTCCAGTAGGTACTGTGGCATGCCACCAGTAAAGTCTCAAAAGCCATTTGTAAATAATTATGAAAAATTTGGTAATTTTCCCAAAAAAATTTTGTTAAAAATAAGTGAGTAAAATGAGTGATAAAAAAGTATATTTATGAGCAGTTTTTGGCAAATAGTAGATAAAAATGTGCTCATTAACTTAATTTTCATGATGTAAATTGAGCAAGGGCCATTATCTCAAGAGAAATTGTCCATGGGCATGGGTGATTTTTGCACATATGCAGGTAGCTTCTGTCAAATGTCCTGTTTGGGTGAGTGATAAGCAGAACTCATATTAGAAGAACAGGAACACCAATGAATTTTCTGTGTAAATGACTCCTAAATGCAAACAAAAAATCATAAATGTAGAGTCTTTGACTCTAAAAAATATTTTTCTAATTTTTCCTCAAATCTTTTGAAGAATTACACTCACCAAACCTCATGATCATTACCAGTATATATACTCAATAATTGCCAGGCATGTAGTGCTACTAGTTTAAATTATTCAAAATTAAAAAAATCCGAGTCTGTTAGAAAAGAAACCCAGATGTAAAAATTTTTATGTGTGAATTTTGTCTTTACAAGTAATATATACCTGCAGGTGTTTGATATTATTTCTTAATTGTCAGCCTTGTTTTGTTAATTTTATCAAGATTTGAGTCTATCATCAACTGGCTCCAGGCAAACTAGACAAAACTCTACGGATTTGGCTCCCCTCAATTCACGCACTTGACTATGCTTTTTGTAATGACTAATATTGTTAAAAGTATTTTTTTTACTTTTGATTTGATTTATGCCAAAAATAACATCAAACATAAAGTTATAGTCTCAAAAAGCACACTGTGTCTAAATATATTAATTAGAATATAAAAAATTTTAAGACTAATGTGTTTTTTTATATTCCACTTTGAGAAAATGCAGTATGGAAATGAAGTTACAGCAAAGTTAAAGTTGATGTTAAAGTTACAGTTCAGGTTGGGCTAAGTGCTAACATAAAATAGTTACAGAAGATTCTCTGTGAAAGTATCTACATTTCTCTAGCAATGATGTGACAAAAATGACCAAAAAGGCATCCAATAATTTATAAGAAAGTGCAAAAAATTAAAAATGTACCTTGTTGTTAATCAAAGTCAGCTAGTTACTGGTCACTTGTATTGGTCACTAAATCTGATGGTCACTTCTATTGATTTCATTGCATCATTATAAGTCTGGAATAACAAAAGAACAAGTTGGAGGTCTTAGTAGTATAAAGATAAATTTTTAACGGGTAGGGTTTTTTCTACTCACTGTTACCATGAGTTGTTTTTAGAGTCTGGGACAGGACTATATATATGAGATTACAATCAATGTTACTATAAAACTCCGTAGCTAATTCTATCTACAAGTTTTGCTTATTTTTCTATCTTTCATAAAACAGAACCCTACAGCTTGTGCTAAATTGTGTGCTGTTATTTGATTACAGTCCTGTTATGCATCATTTATTGATGCCAAGCTGCCAATTTGAGTGATTGGCGATTCTAGAGTTATTAAATAATATTATTGTATTTGATTATTCCAACACACTTGCCCATTTCATTCACTGGCCTTACATTTACAATTCTGCTTCTTTGGAATCTCTGTAAAAAACCTCTGCTCAATAACCAAGATTCTTGACATTTTGCAGCATGTATTTTTGAAAGGGTCACAGACACAAAGTAGAGGTGGCTGATAAAAATGATATAATGGCTATAAAGTATAATGAATACTATACTTTATAGATTCATGTACCCTAAAACAGAGTGACTTGGACCATTGACAAACAAAACTTGAACCGTTTTGACTTCAAGAACAAAAACCCTGTTACTCTAAAAGTTATTGCCTTGCTTCTAATTCATCTGCTTCATTCCAACAGGCACTCAGCCCCTATTCAACTGTTTGCTAAGTAGTACATCCCATTTGCATCTAGTTCATTTTTCAGGATGTGTATCACTTTGAGAGACTTGAAAGACTTGGCCTTTCTTGGGCTCATGTGTTGCGCAATAGTGAATTTGTGTTATGCGATAACAGGGGTTTTAACCCTAGATCACCCATTCAACCGGGAAGTGGCTGTTGTGGTAGTAAGTGAATTGATTAATTATATATATTTTATCTTAGTATAGTAATTTCCTACAAGTAAGGTATGCAATTGTCTAATTGTGACCAAGGTCTCCAGTGGAAGTCCACTCAATTTTTCAATGGTGAAAATGGTAAATACCATTATATATGTCACTACATATGGAGCCTGTGTATAGGAAAATGACTTATGGAAAAGTTGCATTATTCCAATTTTAACTTTCTTAATTGAATTACACTCAATGCTTAGAAATTTAGTTTGTGAAATTGCAAAATTTTATCATGTTTTCATTGTACATTTTTCCTCAGTTTTCTTTCCTGCATTATTTGTATTTAATTTGAAATTTTAGCAATAATGTGGTCTGAATGTGAATTATATGGATGAATTTCAAAAATTTATAATTCCTGAGGCAAAACATTTCAAAACATGACAATTTCAGCCACTGTTTGGTCTATATTATTGCAATTTGGTTCTAACGGCTTGAATCTCTAGGTTTCTGCTAGACAAACAATTGAATGTGGATTTTGTCTAGGAATATCAACAATCTTTGAGACATATGCTTTATTGTGCAGCCGAAGATGCCAATGGAGATGGACCGCAATGGAGATGGACCTGTGGCTATTGGCACCCTAGATGGCAAGAGGATTGGGACCATCACTGCTGGCATGAGGTGAGTTATCAACATATAAAACAAGCAGCAAAGTGGCTTGATAAAAACCTTGTTGAAATAAATATTGTTTTTGTTATGTGGCGCTATGAAAATGATTATTTTGCATCTTTACCTTGAGAGTAAATTTTGAGCTTCAATAATTTTCGTCACTCTTATAGTGTTGAAGTTAGCTTTGAACCATTAAACAGATGTAAATTCAACGACTTCAAGTTACTCTGAACATTGTGTTTTTGCCACAGGTTGCTGTCAAGTACATTGGACGGCAACATCCTGCAGCTGCTAGGCAAGCCGGTGGATCACCCCACAGTGAAGGCCTACATGAAGGGGCACCCCTTCTACAACATCTACCCCCACCCTGAACGAGAGACTGTCATTTTCAGGACCTCAGAGTGAGCAATTTGTCAAATGAATACATCTGATGATGCATCCAGACTAGCATCCTTTGGTCCCTCATGTCCCTTATTCTTTTCCTCGTATATACTGTATATACTTGATACGACCACCTCCAGTGCAGAGAGATAAGCCTGATAGTTAAGGTCCTGGCGGTGCAACTGCTGGACGCATATCATGTCCTTCACATCCCTCATGTCCTTCACATCCCTCATGTCCTTCACATCCCTCAGGTCCTTCACATCCCTCATGTCCTTCACATCCCTCATGTCCTTCACATCCCTCATGTCCTTCACATCCCTCATGTCCTT